ATCAAACATTTACATTGATTTGGCAAATTGATTTCAACAACAGCATAATTAATTAGCAAGCTTTCAGAGACCATAAGCCATGGTATCTGGGTTCAAGCTTTACAACAGGCATTTCTGAAAATATCTGGATTAATTACTAGCAAAATAGAAGAGTTTAAAGATGGAAAATGAAGTTTATCTTGAGAGAGATGGGTGAGGGAATTTGTCTGTTATAACCAGAACAACACGCTCCTTCTGGACCCAGCTTAACCAACGGTACACTTTGCGGTTGAAGATCGACTCTTTTACCTTGGCAGAGGATAATTCCGACTTCGGTGTAGAGTTGCCTTAAAACGCTCTCCAGCGTCTCCGTAAGGATAGTAGGGAACCGTTCGGAGTCGTGAGATCATCCCAGAACAGACATTTCATAGTTCCTCTGAACTTCTCCCGTTCAGCCTAGTTGCTTTTCTCCAGCATTCTGAATTCCAGCATTCTGAACTCTGCTGCTCTCGGAACCAACTCACAGCATTCTCTCAGCGTTCTTCTCAGCGTTCTCTCCCCCTGAACTAGGAAGTGTTAAACCTTTTAAAGAGGTCACTTCCGGTTCATTTGAGAACTTCCTGATTGGTCGATTGACCAAACAGGGGTGTGTTTTAGTGATGTAAGAGGTTATTAAAAGTCAAGGGAAAAAGATTAGATTGTTTAAGAACAGACAGAAGATATTATGAAGAACCCAGACTTCGTGGAGTCAATTCTCTAATATATTTCTGTAAAAGTTAAACATGACATTTCTTTTCCAGTAAACTTGCAGTTGACCGAAACTTGACATTTGACCAACTTACACAACTTGCTCATTTCAGACAGAAGATCAAGAAATTGAATCATTACTCTGTAACACATTCTAACTTGATTTCCACTTTGAATGAGGATTAAAAATCACTAATACTGTTTCACAGTTGATTCAAAACGAGTAGTTCACTTCAACATTTAAAATGGTTTTAACTAAACACACTTTGATTTATCAAAACATTTGTAAAATAGTAATGATAATAGAAAAAGAGAGTGTTCTTTCAATTGATCAGTGCAGGACACTTAGAAAGTCTCTGGATGAACTTAATCTTGTGTTTCTGGACTCAATTCTTGTCCCAGGAAGGCCCTCAAGGCCAGATTTTGACCTGAGGCTTAGTTCACTACAGTCCCCCCTTTGGAAATCATCGCCTGTCCATGGGGATGAATTCCAACATGAACTTACGCCTTCGAAAGTCCTTGAGCTTGATGTAATCGTGCAAGGAAAACAAAAGTCAAAGGAGGTAATTCCACAATGTTCTTGGTAATTCCATTGTGTAGATGGTAATTCCATAATGTTGTTGGTAATTCCATTGTAGCAATGCTTTAACCCATTGGAAACAGAGTTTGTAATCCATTGGAAAAAGTCATATAATCCACCACGGTAAATCCACAACGAATGGAGGTGTTGATTGATCAGCATACAGAGGGGTTCCCTTGGATTGAACTGAAGATGCGGCCACTGGATGAAGAGTGGAGACCAACGTCAGGATTGCAGGTCTCCTCCAGCGAAGGTCGTCTCTGGGCGACGTCCAGTCTGTGCCGTTCTGGTTCAAATGTGTCATGCAATTATGTGGTTTAAGGTGGGCTTATGAAGGGGATTTTACATAAGGCCTTAAACTATATGCACCTGGTGTGTAAGCTATTATGATTGGGAACAGCTACAGCTACCAGTTAAGGGATGGAACATGCTGAAAAGGGTAGTAATAGGGATTTATACCTATAGAAGGGTGTTCCAAACTATTTTTCCATTCCTAACTTGGTTTAAGTTAGCTTTACATGGCAAAATATAGTTTGGTTCAATTGTCTGTTGTCTTTTAGACGAACGACTTGAGATTGGGTGTTTGGTTTCCCCATAAATGTTTTGGAAGTCTATGGCGAGACTCATCAAAAAGAATTAGCTATCCCCCCGAATAGAATTGTTCGAGCAGGTTCGGCTTAAGCGTTGTGAGACCAATGTAGATTATGGTACTGAAGGTAGCATTAATCTACATTGACTTCCGCAAATATTGCATTTTAACGAATGAACTGCATGTTGGCATAGTTAAAACCCTTTACAGTCTCCAACTAAAACTACACACAAAATTCATTCTTTCCTCAGAAACAACTATCAAAACCAAATAAACAACGTTTCAACATCGACAAGAGTAGTGACTAAGCATCTAGAAACATCGTTTCACTGCTTCTTCTCACCCTGGTTGCCAGATTCAATCACGCTGTCCCGTTTGTGTTGTTTCTTTGCAGACCCGCGTGCGCGAGACATAATCATATCGAGGTGCGCTGCATGGCGATCTAGTTGGACTCGGAGTGACCGGAGGCCCCGGAACAGGGATATGAGTATCCCGCACATCACGAGGATTATCGTCATTAGCAGGGCTACGACTAACGTGTCTGCACTTGACCACGCATAGGCAATCGGTTGGATTGGGTTATTAATCTCGGACCTGAGGGACTTGAGAACTCGGTTTATCGGTTCCACGTCGACGACCTTGGTACCCTCAAACCGGATCCTCCCTAAAGTTCCGGGATCTATGTCTATAGTCATGTTTTCTAGGTACTCCGAGTCGTCCAGAGTTGCTTCCCATTGTCCCGGATCGAGGTGATAGAGCGTCAAATCACCAATGTGTATGGTTGTTCCCTGGGGAACACTGATCCACATTGTTTTATCCGGTAAGGTCAAGGGTCTATTTGCCCCAGGTTGTTCGTAGGCCATGATCGCCTCTCTTTGGGGGGCGTTCACTAGCCAACGTGAGCCAACGATTTCCGCCTTTGCGGCCTTAGCCAAGTGTCGTGGCGTTATGGTCGTTGAGCACTTAGAGGTTTCCGGAATAGGTGTCAACCCGCATATGCCCGCGGTTTTATTCCACACAAACGGTTTGCTCGGGCACAGATAATGTATCTCCCGAGTGAGAACACACATCTGAAGGTTTGGAGCTAGATAAACTGAGGGGTTATCGTCGTGGTACGCAACCATCCTTGGTGTGTCAATTTGAACATGGTTTTCACCGTGCCAATTGCCAACATTGACAACGTCCCTGAGTCTGTATATGCCATTTGAGGGAATTATCGGTAGGTTGATAATGAACGCCATTTCAAACGTCTTGTGATTGACGTAGATTGGGATAGCGCTACCGAGAGTGTAAGCCAGGTGAGCCTGTGTTTGCGTAACTTTTTCGCGCATAGCGGAGTTGAGGATGTCGTCCACCATCTGTAGCGAGACTAGATACGGTGGGATCCTGCCGGTGGCTAGTGTATCAACCGACGAGCTGATATCTCTAAGCATGTCAGCAAAGATCCTATCCATCAGGTGTGCGACAGCGTAATCCATTTCAACCTTAAGGGTTAACTCATTTACCGCATGTACGAGGGCTTTGATTTCTTGGGTGTGAGTATTCAGCACTAGAACAGTATCTTTTACGGTTTCAGTCACTTGTGTCAATTTTGTTAGTTGAAGGTCCATTAGTGCTCGGATCTTTGGGACCTCACTCTCTACTTCAGACACGTGTTGTTTTAAGGACGCTATACTGACAGTGTTGAATGCGGACAAACCTAGGCTAAACAGCGATCCTAGTGATGAAGCAGCAAGCAAAAGCCCGCCGATGCCGCGCTTTTGCCTCCTACCTGTTCCGCCCAACTCTTGTTGGGTGTGAGTGAACTTATGTAGTTGCTTTAGGACGTGCCAAATCTCTCCTTTTGCACTCTCTAGGGATACCGTATACCATGTTTTGTTTAGCCACTCGTTTTTAAGGTTAATGTGTTGTCTGATCACGGTTTGGGGGTCGAAGCGGACGAAGACCTTCCGAGTGTATAGGCGGCAGTCTGTGATGAGCAGTCCCGGCTGGTCCCTCAGAGCGATGCCTGAGGTGGGCCCAAGGGTTACGATCTCGGCTTGCCCTTCTTGGATGGCACCCAAGAGGGTGAAGATTACCAGGAGTGGTACCATCATTGTCCTATGGAAACACAAAGAGATAGGTCTTAGCTTCGTAA